GAGTTGTTCTGTTTTCAGGCCTAAGCTTCACCTGAAACTTTTGGTTACTTAGAAGCCTCAAGGTTGTCCTTGAACTGATCCCCTTCAGGAAATTTGTCTTCATAATTGAAGTACTCTGTACCTGGAGCAGATACAAGCAATGATTGTTGCTTAACCTGACCCTTTAGCAGGGTACATTAGTGGGGTTCTGACGCCCACAACATTTGTTAAATGTAACCCTATGTTCAATTTCTGTCTCCAGGAGAGAGCTCATAGTTTCTTATGAGTTTGTCAAAGGGATCTGGGACCTCCAAAAGGTTTCCAGCACTGCACGAGGTGTCATAGGAGTTACAAAAAACAAAACCACCAATGGCAGCTCTGCTGTCTGAGAACTCAGAAGATAAGGAAAGAAGACAAATACAAAGTTATACACAACTAAAGAAGAACAAGGAACAAATTGAGGGATGGCAAGACAGATTATCTATATTCTGGGCACTATTAAGGAAGGTTAAGAAATATTTTCTGTTCTGCTTCCTTCCTCCTCATAATTTTACTTTTGGACAGGAAATTGAGCAGATTTATTTATAATCATTATTCATAAAAGCCACAAGATGGCGAAGTTGTTCCTTAAAATGAATGTGAGTGAGTTAAGTTTGTGTGTGTGTTTCCCTGTGATTTTCCATGACTTCCTTCAATTTCCATACTTCCTTACTTGAATTTAGAGCTTACAAGCTTACATTTTCCCCATTAAACTATATTTTGATCATAGTTGTTTTTGGTATTGTAAAGTTAAAAATAAGATGAAAAAGGAACTATCTGGATTGAATGTTTACCAGTTCTCCAGCTTTTTATTAAATTATCACTGAACAATTTTAATGTGAACAATGGCAACAGAGTAATCTTTGCAAAATACTGTTTTGATAATGTCAGACTCTGAGTTTTAAATGTTCCATTTATTTTCTGGCATAAATATTTATTGATATCACTAGTAATTGGTGTTTAATAGTTGCAGCAATGTAAAATAAAATGAGGAGGAAGAATTATTGACTCATATTAAGAAATGTACATATTTATTTTATTGTCAGTTTCTTCTCTAAAATGAACAAATGCAAGATCCCAAGTACAAAAACTCCTTTCAATTTTTATGGCATCGTAGACTAAGTACTGGACTGCTAACCACAAGATCAGTGGTCTGAGCCTAATGGTTGCTCCGTAGGAGAAAGATGAGGCTTTCTGCTTCTATGAAGATTTATAGTCTCAGAAACCCTATATAGAGATGTTTTAAGTCAGAAATGACTCGACATCACTTAATAACAATGAAAAATACTGAAGTGCAATTCTTACAATATCTGTTCTCATCATTTCAACATATCTCACAGCAATTGTCTTTTTGAATTGATTCCGACTCATCATGACCCTATATAGGGTTTCCGAGAAGCAAAAAGTGGGTTTGAACCACTGACCTTGCAGTTCAAACAGACCTTGTGGTCCAGTGCTTTATCCTACAGTGCCACACCAGGACACCTATGTTATAATGCTTCCATAGAGAGTACAATATTTCTATTCTTCCTGACTAGAAGAAACACTTGGAAATTGTACTTTAAAGTAATTAGGATATTTGAGCCTTTTCCTTGTTGTAGGCTGAACAATAAGGGAATTTGGTTCAGACTGCAACCATTATGGCTCACTTTTATTTAGCAAACTGTTTAGTTTTCTAAACACTCTTTAGTGCAGTTCTTTATTTAGGAGACTCCATTTAGAGTGTATGGATGGGGTGGGGATTCCAATCATCCCTTTTGAGAGATTTGGGCTTTAGCCAGAAGCTTAAAACAAGACACCTGAGATTTCCCAACTTGAAGCTGATCGGAGATGGAATCCCTTCTCTTGACTTCCTGTTGAGATAACAGGTGGCTCAGGGGGCACAGAGTTTTCCTGCAGTCAAGTGGAGACTTCTCTCTGCTTCAGGAAACCCATTTGATGCTGGCGTTCAAAACTGTGGTTTAAAACCATTGTGTTGAGAACCAAGAAGCCAGGGCTGAGGTGCCCTTTAAAGCAGCTAACTAGTTACCCCTGAAGATAGATTTCATTTTCTAAGCTTGTCATTATTTTCTTTATTTCTGCATGGAGAGTGCGGAATTGTTCTTTATTTCCCTTTACATTCCTTTCATAACCCATTTTTGTTTTCCAAAAGATTGAAAAAATAGTTTAGAGTTTACAAGTTTGTTGTTGTTTTTTTTCCCTGATGTTGGGAGACAAATATAGCAGAGGACGGGAATTTGTGTAGTTGACTTTTACCTGAATCAAGACATTTTTGGGGTGTTTAATGATTTTAGGGGTCCCTGGTCTCTAGGTGGCACAAACAGTTCAGTGCCTGGTCACTAACCAAAAAGTTTGTGATTTAAATCCACCCAGAGGCAAGATCAGGGTCATTGAAACCGTACAGAGTGTTGGTCTGTTCTATACACATGGGGTCACCGTGAGTTGGAGTTAATTCAGTGGAACAGAGTTGAGTAAATTTTGCTTTTTCATAAGATCGTTATATCTTTTTGAAGTCATGTCATCATATTAGCGGCTTCTTGGAAACCCTGTCCAGGGTCACTATGAGTTGGACTGACTTGATGACACTTAATAACAGCATACTATTTTTTCTATTTTTATTTATGGCTGAAAAAATTCCATAGTAAAACGTAAAATAGATATGTGGTGACACTTAGCAATAATGATAAATATCCTTCGGTCTTAAACTATGTAGCTGCTTAATAAAACAGAGCCTGGTGTGGAGCTGAATGATAAACACTGGACTTCTAACCATGAGTTTGGCACTTCAAATTCACTAGTTGCTCCTCAGAAACCTTATATATGGTGGCTATGAGTCAGAACTAACTCCATGGTATTTAAAAACAACAATAAAACAATGGTTCTATTTGGGGATTTTGTTCACATTTCTGACAAATATCATATCTAGTAGCAAATATATTTGGGTTGATTAATTGATAATTATATGATTTAATCACAGGCATCCTTAGTTTATGCATTTATTACTTGTTTTTGAAAAAATAATGATTAATTTTATATGACAAGTATTCATGTACTCATTCACTCAGTATGTGGTATTGAGCCCTTACTCTGTGCCAGGCACCATTCTAGGAGCTGAGGCTACAGCACTGAACCAAACAGGAAACAAACAAAACTCCGGAGCACACCTTTTAATAGGGTGGAGACAGAATACAAATCAATAAACAGATGTTGTTGTTAAGTGCTGTTGAGTTGGTTCCAACCTGTAGCGACCTTGTATAGTTGTTTTTGAGGCTGTAAACCTTTACAGGAGCAGAAAGCCTCATCTTATTCCCACAAAGTGGATGGTAGTTTCGAACTGCTGACCTTGAGGTTAGCAGCCCAACTCGTAACCACTATGCTACCAAAGCTCCTTGTAGGGAGTAAAGGCTGTGAAAACAGTACGAAAGGTTGCCAGGAAATAGCTCTCAGATGAGGAGCCATTTAAGCAGAGACCTGAAAAATACAGAGCGAGGTGTATGGAGAAAAAATACGAGATGGAGAGAGAGCATTCTAGGTGACTGGAGAAACAACGCAAACACCCTGAGGCAGGCCTTTCCTGGTCTTTCTAAATCAGAGTATTAAGGGAATTTCAGATGTAACCTTCATTCATCAATAAGCCCAAGCACTAATAGCAATAATAAATGAATGAAGAAACTAAAGAGGCTAGTGATTAAATCATCTAATTATCAATGAATCTACCCAAATACATTTGCCACCAGATATGGTCTTTGTCAGAAATGTGACCAAAATCCCCAGATAGAATGTTTGCTTTGTTGTTGTTGTTGAGTACCATCCAGTTAGTTCTGACTCATAGCCAACCTGTGTTCCAGCAAATAACTGATGGGTATAGAAGGCTTGTCTATGTATAGGGTTTCTCTCTGAGCGTCTGTCTGGTTAATACATGGCATTTGAAGAGAGATTCCTATTGTTTCAGATGTAACCTTAATTTATCAATAAGCACGAGGACTAAGGAGAGCAGGAGCGCACAGGAATATTTTCTCCTGCTCTCAGACCTCATGTTTATTGATGAGTGAAGGTTACATCTGGAACAACAGGAATCTTGGTGTTGACAAACAAACAGATGGCACTTTCTATCATACTCTTAACTCAGCACTATTAAGAAATGTACATTTTATGTATAAATTTAAAAAATGATCATTTATATTTTTTTGTGTATCCTTGAGAGAATATGTAAATATGTAAATAGAAGCAAGGAGACACTATTTAATTTTACATTGTAAATTGTTTTGTATAAATCAAAAACAGCAAGTGGTTGATTCCCAGGAAGTAAATTAGATGAATGAATCAGGCTGAGGTGTAGATGTGGAGAAGTGGGGTTTGTTGTGTGCCATGGAGTTAGTTCTGACTCACAGCAACCCTGTATAGCGTTTGCAAAGATGTAAACTTCATGGGAGTAGAAAGCCTCTTCTTTCTCCCTCAGGGAGGTTGATAGATTTGAACTGCTGATCTTTCAGTTAGCAGCCTAACTCGTAACACTTATACTACCAGGACTCCTTAAGAAGAGGTGGAGATTGTGGCAAACCGAAGAACTCATGTCTTTTTTAAAGGGGACAGCTGTCACTCATCTGTGATTGACTGTTACCATCTGATAATGCATGCATAATTTTCAACTTATTTTCTGATTTTTCAAGACAAGTAAGATATTTGTATTTTATGTGAAATCTTCTGATTTTTAAATGTCGACAGTTAAATACCAAAAATTTCAAAATACTCTTCTGGCCAAGCAAAACACTACTGGGTGGTGGGATCTGGCCCACAAGTCACTGGTTTGAGACCATGAATAGCGCATCATAATTAATTCTTACTGCTTCTTTCAAGGGAAAGTGTAAATCTAATAGGAAAAAATGCTGCAAGATTTCTGGATTCAGATGATTTGAATACACTATTGAATTATTGCCCTCCCTCTGCCATGCTGAATGTGTCTGTTCTTCTCGTTGTCTTAGGGTATGGTCAGACAGGTCCAATGTCTCAGCGAGCTGGTTATGATGCTGTTGCCTCTGCTGTTTCTGGTCTGATGCACATCACAGGGCCTGAGGTAGGTATTCATATTTAGAATATTCCAAAAATTTCCCCTTATATATTCCAAATATATTTTCCTCTTCACGCTACTATAGGCTTAAATTTGAATTAATTTTAAAAATAAATCAGTGAAAATGAGCAACTTACTTTATAAAATTAAACTTGAAGAGTTCATTGCAATATACTTAAGACTAATCCTGGCATGGCACAGTAGGATAAGCCCTGAACTGCAAGCTTGGTTTGAACCTCAAGATCAGTGGTTCAAACTCACTAGCTGCTCCTTGGAAACCCTATGCAGGGTTGCTTTGAGTTGAATAGACTCGATGGCACTTAACAACAACAACAAATATCAATTGAACAGTAATGACTGAAGACCAGAAGAGTTGTGGGATGACTTCAAGGACATCATGCATGAAGAAAGCAAAAGATTTTTAAAAAGGCAAGAAAGAAAGAAAGGACCAAAATGGATGCCAGAAGAGACCCTGAAGCTTCCTCTTGAATGTAGAGGTCTAAAGTGAATACAAAAATGTGAAGAGAAAGAGAAACAGATTTCAAAGGAAAGCGTGGGAAGACGTAGTAAATTATTATAATGAAATGTACAAAGACCTTGAGTTAGGAAACCAAAAGTGAAGACATGCTAGGTATTTCTCAAGCTGAAAGAACTGAAGAAAAAATTCAAAGGATTGTAGGGGCAAAATATTAACTGTTGCAGGAAACATCAAAAGAAGATGGAAGGAATACACAGAGTCACCGTACCAAAATGAATTGACCGATGTTTAAGCATTTCAGGAGGTAGCAGATGATCAAAAATTGATGGTAATAAAGGAAGAAGTCCAAAGTGCACTGAAGGCATTGGCAAAAACCAAGGGCTCAGGAACTGGTAGAATATCAACTGAGATGTTTCAGCAAACGGATGCATTACTGGAAGGCACTCACTTGTTTATGCCCAGAAATTTGCAAGACCTGGCCAATTGACTGGAAGAGATACATATTTGTGCCCATTAAAAAGAAAGATGATTTAGTGGAATGCAGATATTATTGAACAACATCACTAATATCACACACAATTAACATTTTTGCTGAAGATAAATAAAAAATGGTTGCAATTTTACATCAACAGAGAAATGTCAGACATTAGAAAGCTGATTTCGGAAAAGAATGTGGAAGGAAGGCTACCACCGCAGATGTCTTATGTGTCTTATTATTATAAATGTCTTATTATATATAACAAGTTATGGATAACAGGACACTTAATTGTGTTCCTGTGGCATCTGTACATAGACCTGTACATACAGAGCAAGGGGATATTACGCTGTCTAAAATCAGGAATGGTGTGTGGCAGGGCTGTATCCTTCTACCACACTTATTCAATCTGTATACTGAGCAAATAATCTGAGAAGCTGGACTATATGAAGAAGAACCTGGTAACAAGATTGGAGGAAGATTCATTAACCACCTGTGATATGCAGATGACACAACCTTGCTTGCAAGGTGCCTTGGGAAAAAGTCAGTCAGTGAGAGAAGAGCTGAGGGTTCAGGTTTCAGAGCAATGGGGAAAGTTGGTTGAGGCCATCTTTTGGAAAGCCTTCAAGGTCAGCTAAACAAGTTGGGATGTTGTTTGCTCACAGTGGAAGTTAGGGAGGATTTTCAGAAGGGGAGTAACATGATGAAAGCTGTGCTCAGAAGATTCATTTGGCCCAAATATGTGGGGTGGATTAAATCAAGTTTACAAGCATTGCTTCTTAGATATTTATCTTCCCTTTTAAAATGAAGGAACCACAAATAATTAAGCTAAGAGAAAATGTTCTTTCATTAGTACCCACAGGCACGCCATTTTATTTATTTTTGAAGAGGTAATACATTCACATAATGAAAAATTCACATTGGTAAATTCATATGTAGGTTGACTATATAATACATCATACAAAACTGGCACTTTTAAGAGTAAGTGAGGGTTCATTATATCATTAAGATATAACCTGTTGTTGTTGTTGTTAAGTACCATGGAGTCAGTTCTGACTCATAGTGACCCTGCACAGGGTTTCCAAGGCTGCAAATCTTTATGGGAGCAGAAACTCTTATCTTTCTCCTGTGGAACAGCTGATAGTTTGAAACTGCTGACCTTAAGGTTCTCAGCCCGATTCGTAACCACTACACTACCAAGAGCTCCTTAAGATATTCTAGGTTTGATTTTATCACCCTCTGTTTAAGAGTCCATGATGTAAATCTCCTTCTGAGTCCGACCCTATCTCATCTTCTTCTCCTTTAACACAATCAGTATCATCACTTTTCTTTGGCATCTTTTTAGAGATATTCTATTCAAAAATGAGAAAAATAGTCTTCCTCCTATCTTTTTTAAAACAGAATTGATAGTATACTTTCTCAATGTGTTTTTTAATAACATTTAAAATAAAGAGGTATAATTCACACATAATAAAATGAAGAATACTAAGGGTAATGTTCAATTTATTTTAAGTCCCAGGTGGTTTCACTAGAGTCCTAGTGTGGCGCTGTGGGTTAATGTGCCGTTTGCAAAGCCGTTTGAACTACAAAGTCGGCAGTTCAAGCTCACCAGCCGTGCCTCAGAAACCCTATACAGTGTTGCTATGGGTCAGGATCGACTTAACAACACTTAACACTTAACAACAACAACAATATTAATCCAAACGTTGGCAGCTTGTACCCACCAGTGGTGCTGTGAAAGAAAGACCTTGCATACTTCCTGTTAACCCATCAATACTCTGTGCCAGGTCTGCTCCCCCAGTCAGGAATAAGTCCCACCCCCATATGGAAGCAGATGGCAAGTCCTGGCAGCACCTTCACCTTGGTCCACGACCTGAGACTTCCTTGTTTAGGGGCATATTTATTGACTCTCCCCAGGGTTAGTTACTCATCCTCTCAGTTCTTCTCCCTACTAAAGATATTTGATGGGGAATCTTAATCATAGGATTTGATCTACTAGCCTGTTTTGTGTGTGTTTGGTTTTCTCCTCAGAACTGTCTGGGCAATGAAGGGAAGGTTAGGAGCTGTATCACCTGGACAGCAATGTTCAGGTGCTTTTCTTGGTCTCTGCCTTTCAAAATCATAAGTTTTTTTCCCCTTTCCTTGTTTGGTTGGTAGTAGGATCATTGTGTTAAGAAATTGTCCTATAAAATTACACAGGAAAAATAAAAAACAAACAAAACAGAAACCAACTACCCCCCCCCCCAAAAAGATATTAATGAGTATAAATGGGTTCGTAGAATGTGTCTGTTCTCCAACAGAAAACTGGAGAATTTTCCAATTTCACTTTCCTCCCCCTGAATGAAATCATGTGCTTTAAATTTTGATTTCTTAAAATTAGAATTCTATATTTCGTAATAAAAAACCTTAAGGATAAACTATAAATTCATAAGCTATTATTTTATTATGGTAACTCTATTGGGGTATATTCTAAACAATGTGATATGTTTTGTGAAACAGCAAATTTTACTAAGAGTTTTCCAGTGAATTACTACAAAAGTAATATAGTAACCCTAAAAGCACTGTATTTTTGGATTAATAGCATATCCTTTTTATTTCCTGGTACATCTCAAAAATAGAGTATATAATCATGATTTACTTTATTAAATTCTTAAAACTAATGAATCATGTAACTGTAGTAATGGTTTGAACTTTGGAAATAATGGCGCCATTTTGATTTTTATTGGAGCAGTTGTGTGTTCTATGGTCCAGTGCAAAGAGCATGGGCTTTGGAAATTCACAAGGTTTCAATTTAGGTTCTGTCATTTACTTTGTTGAAGCTATCCAGACAAGCTACTAAGAGCCTCCATTTCTTAATTTGTAAAGTGGAGAAACATAACTATTTTCATGAGTGTTATGAATATTATTATAGTAATTGGAAACATTTATTATACTATTGTTCTACTAAACCTAAACAACAGATATGCTTAATTAATGGAATTCTTGAATTAGTGTTCTATTAAATGGAGATTAGATCCTGATAGGTTGATATCACTTTTAGGTTTCTCAATATTCTCAGTTACTCTCCAACCCACCAAGGAGCTCTGGTAGCGTAGTGGTTACGAATCAGGCTGCAAACTGCAAGGTCAGCAGTTTGAAACTACCAGCTGTTCCGTGGGAGGAAGATGAGGCTTTCTGCTCCCGTAAAGATTTATAGCCTTGGAAACCTTGTACAGGGTTGCTATGGGTCAGAAGCGACTCGATGGCACTCAACAACAACATCCAACCCACCAGGAGTCCTGGTGTGGCACCATAGGATAAGAACTTGACCTCAAGGTCTTTTTGAACCTCAAGGTCAGTGGTTCAAACCCATCAGTTGCTTCTTGGAAACCCTATACTGGTGGCTATGAGCTGGAGCCAACTCAACAGCACTTAACAACAACAATAATAACATTCAACCCTTATTCTTTATTTTACTTTCTAGCTGTCATCTTCATATATGAAATTATATTTAATTCTTAGTTTATTTGTTTATTGTCTGCCTCCACCTTTAGTATGAAAGCTATAAGAGGATAGAGACTTTGTATTGATTACTACTTGGTTAGATTCAGAATCTAAGCAATTATGAATCTAGTACATATGTTACTGTTGTTGGGTGCTGTTGAATTGATTCCAAATCATAGCGATCCTTTGCAGAACACAACGTAACACTGCCTGGCCCTGCACCATCTTCACAATTGTTGTTATGCCTGAGTCCACTGTTGACATTGTGTCAATCCATCTCGTTAAGTGTCTTCTTCTTTATAGCTGTCCCTCCACTTTTCCAATTATGATGTCCTTCTTTAGGGATTGGTCCCTCTGACAGTGTGTCCAAATACAAGAAACAAAATCTTGCCATCATCACTTCTGAGAAGCAATCTGGCAATGCTTATTCCAAAACAGATTTATTTGTTTTCTGGCAGTTCATGGTGTTTTCAATACGCTTCTCCAACACCATAATTGTGCATCATATTGTTGTTCTTAGGTGTAGTTGAGTTGATTCCAAGTCATAGCAACCGTATGAACAACAGAATG